AGACACGAAACAAGCATAATACAATACTATCAAAACTGTAAGCCTACAGTAAATAATTAAAAAAAAACTAATCTATAAAAGTGGTATTTACAATTTTATTAAAAGATATTAAATTTTATAGTTATCAAATATACATTATTATTTTATATATTACACAGCAAATTGATATATAATACAATCATCATATAAAATATACAATTCATTAAAATTATTTAATATTTTCCTTATTAATTTCATTAAAACCACAAAAAAAAGAAGAAAAAAGGTTTTTTTTGTAAAAATTCATTTAAATTATAAGAATTGACCTATTTACCCCCTTATAGACTCTTTTCTTCCCTTTTTCGTACATACTTTCCAGCAAATTGAACAAAATCACATACACTGCTTCGCTTGTTAAGAATATCTAAAATAAAATGTAAAATGTGATAATTGATAATATGTTAACAATTATTCAACAGTTAAGTTTATTGATGATCTAGATTATCTTTTAATTATTGAAAAGCGATTCAATTACGTATAATCGGCAAGGGAGTAAGTTTCAATAAACATACACGATACTGTTAAAATAACTAGAACTATTTTTCTACATTTATGATGATCTCAATTATCTTTTTCTATTGCCATTTGGTAAGCCTTTTTAGAAATCACATTCCATCCAAATGGTTGACTTTGTCAAAATGCAGCAGTGTTGTAGGAGGAATCTTGTGGCCTACACTAGGAATCTCTAACCTGGATCGTGTCGATTGCATTTAAAACATAGGGAATGTTATAAGTACTTACTCGATGTGTGATGTAGTACAGCTGCTGGCCAGCAAAGTCCCAGATGTAAGTCATATCTTTATTATCAATGGCCTGTGAGGTCTTTCCAGTAATTCTATCAACAACTCTTTCCTGAATTTCAGATGGAAGTGCTAATAATAATAATAATAATAATAAGATTTATTAAGCGCACATCTCCACTAAAGTGCTCAAGGCGCTTGTGAAAACCATGAAAAAGCTTATCCTTTTAAACTAAAGGCTACCAGAAAAACGACCATAACCCACATCACTGCTTCCGTTTACCAGCAAAGTGCTTGGCTTGATACTGATTAAATAATTTCAAATATTAGCAAAGTTCGGTAACAATATAATGAGGATAATACTTTGAAAATAATGATCACATAAACATTTGATCATGTGAAGGCAACAGTATTTAAAATAATAGTCAGACAATTATAAGTTTATCCATGTCGAT